TAACACTTGAAACTAAAATTAGTAATTTAGAATAGTCACTATTTCAGTCACATACGTTTTCTTTCATCAGATTATATATACATAGTGAAAAAATCTAACTCTCTTCAAGTAGTTAGAGGGATTTATTAGAATCTTTATCTGTGATTAAAATGATTACCTACACTCTTTCAATATAAACTGATCAAAATCAATTTACTTTGTTTCGCGATTTGAAGTCTAGTAGCTTGTATATGTTAACTAATTATTAAATATCGTAGGGATTATGAGGTTGTCTCAAACCGTATGTATTAAGATTCAGTTTTAATATGCATCGAAAATCGTAGACTTATCAAATTGGACATTTGAAGTTCTTTTAAATTCTGAGAGTAGTTTTTATCACCGAGTGGCGTGCCATTAAGGACTCTCGTAAACCAAGTAGAATTAAAAATCTGTTTAATCCAAGCTTATAACTCCTCGAAACCATGAACTTACAATTATACTACATGAAGAATTAGCTAGTCACAAGTGTAAACTAGCATATTTTAACTTACTAGTTTATAAATGAAGTCTACACCAAGAAATCTGAAGTTTGATCCTGTAGAAGAGAATTGTTAAGAAGCTTAAAAACTAGAAATAAGTATTCATTAAATGCTACTTGGATTCCGACGGTTCTCTGGTTTTGAAAATTCAATGGTGAAAATTACTTTCAAATGTAAATTAGATGGAATGTAACTAACAGTGAAGTCCAAGACCCTCGTCTTACCCTGTGTGAGACTCTCCTACTGGATTTACTTGCATCCGACTTCAGGTTCACTCCGGGGCGCGAACTCAATACAGCTCCCTCAAGATGCCATCTCACTATGCATTTAGCCATCAAATCGGTTTGTCTCATTGTTCATATTCTATGTGACATTTCTTAGTTGGTTTATCTATATCCTGTTCGAATCTCCTCGATGTAGCCATTTCGGACCAATTTCATATAGGCAGTAATACTTTATATTCAAAGTTACAATGTAATTTGTTACAAATAACCAATGTTTTTTGTTTAATTTACAGCTTTTATTAGGTAATATCAACATACAAAATGATCATTCAAGTCCTGATTCTAATTTAGCACCTTCTCAAGAGGAGCACAATATAAATAACTTCCATTCATGCTTATCAAAATCCAAATTAAATATGCACAAGATCGAATTGATGAATAATACTGATAATAATCATCTTATCTCTAATTTAAATCAATATAACGAACAACTAGGCAGTTCAGCAGACAATGAAAATCTTGAAACGTCAAGATTGTTATATTCAAATCAGTTCAACCGTCAACAACAAAATCAACACATTACTAATGATTTCTCTGCTATTCCGAATGTAGATAACACTGAAATCAGGTCAACCCATCTATCTGACTGTTTTGTTTAACTTCTTTTGCCTTTTTTCTCCCTCTATCTCTCTGGTTAAATCCACTCCTGCTTTTTTCTGTTTTTTTTTCTAAATTGTCCTTTTATACTCATTTACTCTCCTAACTAATATTTCCGGTTTCTAAGTTGAATGTTAAACTGTATAGCCATTATTTTCAATAATCTTTTACAATTGAGAAAAACTTCGACATTCATGATTTATTTTATTTCGAATAGTAATTACTTCCGAAATAACATTCCTCAAATGATTACACATGGGAAAAACACAACGTTCCCCCCTCCACCTCACAAAGAGGTTTATCATTACAAAACTAGAATACATACATATTTGTGAATTCTTTCTTCGGTTTTTCTTTTTCGTTTGTTTTTCTTTTTTTGTAAAATTTAATATTCATACCACTTTTATAACGATGTAAAGTTTAACGTTTCTATGACTGTATTTCATTTCAATTTAGTTATATGATAAAATGTCTCTTTTTTTCAATGATTCAAATGATCAACTTCTTATATATCATTTCGGTCAATTTTCATGACATAAACAAAATGTTGATATCAGTTGATTATTTAAGAGAATATTCAATTGTAAGTTGTAATACTTCACTTCAATTTACAATATTACTATAATTATTAGTTGTGTGTTCATTTGTTAATTGTGAGACTACAATATTTCACAGAAAAATAATTTTTAGCAAAAAATAACTATTTTCTTTCAATACTACTGATTTTGTTTTTTGATAGTATTGAAAATTCAACTTAAATGATTCAATAAAACTATTCAAAGAGAATACAAATAGTGGTGAGACTATAATTGATGGACGACCTTTAAACGACACTGAAGTGACCTTGAGAGTGGACGCCTACTGATTAGGTCTAAATGAGAGTTATAAAGTAGTTAGAATTCTCATTTATAGTTGATGGTTAGGGTTAAAAACAAGACTTAGGGTTTTCATCACGAACTGATATCAGCTATAGTGTCAAAACTCTATTTAGCCAAATATACGGGTGAATTTCGCGCCGAAATCTGTGACTCGTTATCTTATCTGTAATTGGTTCGTCCATAAATTATAGTCTCGTCCAAATAGTTATTAGGTTCATGAATAATTATCTGAAGGTAGTCTAAAATGTTAAAATATAACAATGATAACATATTCTAAAGTGATTTACTTCATGATATCAGTGTGCAAACGATAAGTGAATCCGTAAACTACTAGCCAATGCTGTGGTTCTTGCACTATTTTATTCATTATTTAATAAATATTCATAGCTATTATCCATTTATGTATAGTAACATAGCAAGTCATTTAAAAGTTTAAATTAATTCATGATAAATATATGCACTATCAAAATTTTTAATAAAAAAAGGGGTGATTGTCAATAGTCGACAGGAATCCTTGGATCTAGGTTTTATACTAATCTGATCTGATGGTTCCTGGAGGATTCAATGTCGACTCATCATACTTTACTAGGTAAACATGCCACTGGTCGAAAATTGATGACCAACTAATTGTGAACAGAATACATTTTATTATCACTAAGCGATATTGTATATTTCAAACAAAATCATAAGGACTATAGGATTTCAATAAAGAGACGAAAGAAACCATGACTCTAGTCTCTTAAGTCGTGTTTTCAGAGAACAATTAAAAGTTTTAAAAGTTAAACCTCTACTTTATTTGTTGTTGCAGCTTAAAATTACGTAATTAATTACTATTCATAATTCTGTTTACTGGTGTATATATTATTTAAACTTGACACTTCCACGATGCAATGAACTTATGGTTAGCTTTTTTTATTTCAAGATGGATAGAAAAACGGAAGAACATCTAATTATCTTCCTCAAAAAGTGGATGGGTGATCTATATTTAACTCTTGTCAACTTTCTTATTAATGTCGCTTTAATATATCATAGATCTTCCTGATTGGTCGACTGAAGGTAAATATTAGATGAGAAAATTTGACTCGACCAAATCTGTCGAGTTTTGTTACGCAGAAATACCATGTATATCCCCCTTTATTTTACATTTTCCTGGTCGCTGAATTTCTTCCGCTCATTATTATATTGTAAGTGCGAGACTCCATGAGGACGATTATTTATAATTGTATGCTTAAATGTTCACAATTATGTGACATCTAATGGCTCTATTTATGAACATGCTAGTGTGGTGTGTGCTGCTGATCTCGACAGATATAAGTGGTATGTATCATCAATTGAAAATGAAATGCCTGGTGGCGAAAGGTTAAGAAGATCAAAGAAAAGAGAACATGAACAGAGAATGATTGGCATGGAAACGAAAGAATAATGAAGTCTTAGACGATTGATTGATATTTTGCAAATTAAGTATTTGCTGCATGGTTCTCAGATTTTACTAAGGTGTTTTGTAATTTTGTGCTCAGATGCATTCGATTATCCCCGCTCGTATCCCCGTTTGCTACACTAGTTTTGGCAAAACTTTGCTCTTCACACTGACATGTTAACTTACTGTGCCTTATGAATTACTTCGATAAGAACGTATATTCATCCACTTTAAATATGCAGAATCAATTAATTTACAATTCGTCTTGGCCACACACAGTATTTATGTGTCATGTCGTCTTAATTTAGCCTGGTTATTTTAGGGTTTCTTATGAAGAATTTTAACGATAAGGCACTGATACTAGATTATTTGAAATGAGAGAATATTAATACTTATTCTATCCTTATCTTTGTATATTTTGCAGCTGAAAAAGCGACCACCCAACTTGTCATAATTAACCATTATGAAGTGTTGGCTCTTAAACTACAGCCATTATGTCAGATATTCCACAATTTTTAGCTAGCGATTTTGTTCATTAAGCAATATAACATTTATACTAATCGAATATTTTAATGGTGAGACCGTATGGTAAATTAGATAATTTAAGCAAACGGGTATTATAAGATCACTTTGGTAATGACATGAATGTTTTTGATAACATATCAGAATCAAATCTACAACTTTTGCGAGCGAACATCGTATAATATTGTCGTGAGAGGTTCTAGACCACTGACTTGTCCGGATACAACAATCCTATTGTTTAGTGTTGCAAACTGTTGACTTTCAAAGAGTTAGATATGGAGCTGAACATCACTCCTCTAACTTCTGTTTGATTAATATAGTCATGTTAATAACTCTAGCATAAACACTACGAGAATCCAATTTCAAATACCTGAAAACATACTTTGTAAATAATCTATAAACCTAAACGTCTTACCCAAATATTTAACTTTATCGTACACTTTTAGTTAGAAACTATGTTTCATTATATAACTATATCATAATTATCTTAAGGTAGAAATTTAAAAGTACTGAGCTCATTTACTTAACAGCTAACTAGAAAAGCTTTCCTAGTACAACTCAAAGTCTTGTGAATCAAGCCATCACTGAACAATACCCAATAACATCATAACTGTCCTGAGAGACTGATTTTACAATACATACATAACAAACTATTTTTAAAAACAGATCTGTATACACTTATCAAATTAAAATTTTGTTGCATACTCAGTATTGGAAAAGTAAATGCAAAATAATGTTATTTGGGTTTTCGCCATACAATATGGTAAGATATTATTTCATCACACTACATGACTAATGATTTCTTCCGTAAGAATGGTTCTACAATCAATTCAATTTGTTCTTTTTTTGTTTTAAGCATGCTGAGTGTAGCTTCTTTATTTTTATTAATCCAGGATTCTCCATCAAGACAAGCAGAATCTGCAATTTTCTAAAAACATAAAATGTTAAACGTATCAAGACTAAAAATAGACATTATTAGTTTTAAAAAATAAGTGGTTTACAGGGGGGGGGGTTTGTATAAATTAAAAGTAATTCCTATCAAGAATCAACATAATTTGGAAAACCACTAGAACCATAGAAGACTAGGTAACAGTTCCGTATTGGTTTCGAACTATTCAGAAGTAAGTGGCCACATTATCTCGTATAGAGTCAAAGCCAAAACAGTGAACAGATAGCATCTAATTCTACCCAACATAAGGTAGTGTATACGGACTGTTGGGAAGGTCAAAACTGGAACAATACGGCTGTTCAAGAGCTTTTTGGTATTAATGTCCCTCCAAATGGTGTAAGTCAGTAATTTTAATAGCTTACTAGGATATGACTGGGATAGAAGTTTGTTTTTTACTTCCTTTCCCTCCCATAAACATTTTCTATAACTAAGATAATTTTATTTAATCACGACAGCAAATGTAATACGTTATCTGTTTGAACAACCTGAACATTGTTTCCAAAACATGAACTCAACAGTGATACCAAATGAATGTTATGCTAAAAAATCTCTCAATTAAGGGATCTAGCAACAGTTTCAAGGTAGCCAATGGATGGCAAGTGGTTATTAGTCAAGTCTAGGACACTTAATTTCTTATATCTGGGACTTCTCAGCTGTATGTACCTGCATTTTAAAGTTATTGTTCACTCCAAGGCCCAAATAGCATACCTACGTATGACACTTGTTTTGTATTTACCTCCTGTATACATGATTTATAATGTGTAGTAGTCTTTTTTATTAACAGAATAGTAGATCACACATATATATTGTAAGTGCTTAGGGTTCGATTAGTAGCTTATCAACAGGATTTTGTAAAACTTCATGAATTCAAGATGTTTGAAATTTTATTTTCCACCACGGTTTTTGCGTAGACGTTTCTCCATTGTTTAGAGTTCAAAAAGTTAGTAATAACGTTTACAGAACCTCATGTAAGATACTCTGGATGTCCCAAATCCTCATAAAATCTTTTCTCTTTTGACAATAAGTGTCTAGACCGGATGGATTCCATGCTGTTCAAAACTAACAAATTTACTTATTAATTATAGCGTCTACATGGAAGTTAATATTGTTTTAAACCAGTGACTTTTTTATTAAAATCTATAAAAATGGTAGAATAAAAATTCTAGCATGGATGATGTTAAATTGCAACGTTTAAAAAATAGAATACCAACCTACCCTTTCTTCTTTTGTATAGTCATTCTTATCAGAAGTTGCTAAAATTTCCCTGACTAATCGGATCAGCATAATAAATTCATCACGACATTCTAAATAATGTTAAATAAACAAATTATCTACATATGAATAATATTTTCATTAGGTACCTATCCATTCTAAAATATGCATTGCTTCTTCTTGTTTATATTTAACAGCTAGTTTATGTGCGGTTTCGCCGTGAATATTTTTTCTATAGACGTCGACACCAGCAAAATATAAATATTTTATTAAATCAGCATGATTCCACATAGCAGCATAATGTACTAAATTGCATCCTTTTGTGTAGAAGAGAGGAAATTACTTTTTTGAAACAATAGTTCAAAACTTACCATTTTTTCCGGTTTTATTTAGCTCGTTATAACCATTGCTTATTGCCTTTTCAATAAAATTCCTGGAATCTAATATTGTAAATAATTCAATAGCAGAATTGTGCATTTCGTCATATTCATTCATAAATCGTAGATAACCTTCTGGGTCTTTATCATATTCTTTCAAAAACTTCTGGATTCTATCACCGTCACCCTGAAGAATGAGTTCTATTAATTGAGACATTGTTTAAACCTGAGATCAAGAAAATCAAAAAAATTTCACCTTCGTAGGTGTCCAATAATTGAGGTAAACTCATATTAAGATGGGCGAAAATTCATCATCCTATAGACTGAGGCACAAAGACGATGAAGGAGTTTCTACATAATTAGTGTTTCCTGTTTGTTGATAAACAAATATACGTATATACACATGTACATGAACGCCGACAAGTGGTTAAAAGCTCGCTAAAGTTATGAGACTACTCGATCCTAACATAAAACCCTGAAAGTTTTCTGCATACAGTTAACAACCAAAGAAAGATTTAATTATCTTGCAATTGTTTAAATTACACACATCTTTAGCAATTAGAAGTAAATGACTGACATATGGCACTAACATCAGGTACACTACAATAATAACTACAGCACTGGCCAGTCAGTTAGTCATAGGCAGTTTAGGTTCCTTCATGAATGTTAATAGACTTCAGTTATCACAAATCATACAAGAATGTAAAACAGAGAGATCAGTAAGACTGTTAAAAGCAGAGTAGAGTAACAATATTAATAGCTCTAGGAAGACAAACATATTCTAACGTAATGTTTGGAAATCATAGAAAATACCCACGACAGCCTGATAAGATTTAACACTCAAAGTTGTAGTTTTATAGTTATAACTTACGATAATTACGGTCTGTATCTAGCTAACCACAATATTAATGTTATCTACTTAAAACTGATCAGTTAATGAAGGCGAATTTTCCCCTACTTATACAAACTTCTAGAATGCTTAACTGTATTTAAAAGCTGAAATCAGTATAAGCCCTTGTCAAACATTACAAGTCTAATATCTTGAAACGTTTAGGCTAGCCAGTCATCATCAACATGTAGTTTGAGAGGAATGTACGACTACCAAAGTTGCCTTACTACATGGAGTGGTACAGTCTTAAAGCGTTTTTCATACTTGTATTCATGTTTTTAACCTTGAAAATAGAGGCGTTTTTATAGACAAGTACTTATGTCACTACTTACAAATTCTTAACTTTAAAAACAACACCTACTGTGTAAAATTTAGTAATCACACACTTACTCATATATCAGCAAAAATTTTATGATCTCATTGAATAATTCAGAACACTGTTTTGTTAGCTAAGTAGATGATTTTTATAACCTCACAGCAACCGGGAAAAGGACTGAACAATAATTAGTTGTGGGGTGTACAGGATCAGATACACATTTTAGACAAAAACAAATTCCTGAGCCTTCTGTACAGAACATTATCCACAAAGACTATATCCCACTAATAAATGTATGTAAACTTACTAAAACTAATAATACTAACGCCCTTTGGAATTTTTAGAATATTACATTATGCATACAAAACCTAAAAAATCAGGCGTCAAGTGTAAAGGACATGCATTTATGTGCAATTTGGTAAGATATTGTTGAGGCACTTAAAACTATACATTTCTCTTTTACCTGTGAACGTAGGCAATTACAGAGAATTATTCTTGTCATGGACAAACCGCCTACCTAATAGTTAATTTATGGTATGTAAAAAAACCACACTAAATGTCACTAATGATACACGACGTGTTCGTATACGCTTCGTCTTAAGAAATGTTTTTCAGTTACATGTCCCAAATTTTGTAGTTTTTTTATCGATAAAGACCCTTACTTGAGGCTTGATCCATGATTCGCTAGTGCAAAAAGGTTCAAATCTAGTTCAATAGTAATAAGGTTTTGTGAATCTGAAGACTTCATACTAAATAATAGAAGTCCTCTAGTTGTAACAAATATTGTCATTGTTCAAGTCAAGTTATAGTAAAGTTCTTCTAAGAGTGATCTTTAGGTTTTTAATGATGGCTCACTAGTTATTGAAACCTCAATAGGTAGGTAGCGGAAGAATCCACTAGCTAAACAACTGAAACCACATTCTAATAAATCCCTTGAGGCAATTCAGCTTTAGTAGTAAATATAACATGTTTTAATGTGATCAAAAATAAAACCCGATAAAGATTTGGAAAAAACGAACACATTTAGTTAAATCCATTGGTAGTTTGTCATAAGGACCAAATTAGAACCACATAAGTGTGACTATCTATCCATCTATCGATTCTTTTCTGTTGTTTATTTTGAGCTCAGTTTTGTGATTAACCCGAAATTGATATCTTTCTAATATCTATCTACCTGTCCGTCTGCCTATTTGTCCAATAATTTAAGTATTGCACATTTTAAAAGCATTTCAGTACATAACACCACACTTCAGTTCAATTCAGTTTTAGTCCGTGAAATGCAATTCTTAGTTCTTATAACTCTAGTTCTAGTGTAATTTCTATTCCAATGAAACTGCTGGACATCCTAGTACTACTGTAGTTCTAGTTTCAACACAACGTCATAAAGCTTTATATCTAGTGCTAACTGGACAATCACTTCAGTCGTTATCGTTAGTCAAGACTTAAAGACTACTGCACAATGCCGTGCAATAGCCGCCAAAGGTTTTAGAACCTTATGGTCAATACGTAGAGCTTTTAGTTATGTCGACGCTAAAACGTTTTTGACTTTGTATACAGTGTTCGTTCGTCCTAAACTTGAGTACTGCATACAAGCGGCTAGCCCCTGTTTAAAAAAAGACAGTGAGCTTCTGGAAAAGATTCAGAGAACGGCGACTAAGCTGATTCTCGGAATAGCGAAGCTTCCGTATGAATCTCGACTGGCCAAGCTGAACCTTTTCCCGTTGTCATATCGCAGAACTAGAGGCGACTTGATTACAGTCTACAAATTGCTTAGTGATAAATTTGCACCTGATATGCCCTCATTTTTCTTGTCTTCCAAAACAGAGAATTTACGAGGACACCCCAAAAAAGTTCATAAGCCAAGAACAAATTACTTGTCAGCTGACTATCGACTTTCCCATAGAATCATCAACGAGTGGAATTCACTACCTCAGCACATGGTTGAGGCTCCATCCGTCGACTCTTTCAAAAGAAAGTTGGATCAACTGAGAGACCACCATTGCCAGGACTAACATAGGCCATCGAGCCTCCTGTCCTTCCCAAACTGAAACTGATTCAATTGGATAAGTCAGAAATCATTGTTTGGATCCTCTGGTCTGAAAACACTTCAGTCATGTTTTATACACATTCATATTCACTCCACTTTGATTCCAATTATTATTGGTATGCACTTTAGCCTGTTTATTTGTTTGAAAATAGACTGAATAATGATACTACCTAACTTTCACTTCAACCTATTCGTTATTAGTCATCATGAATGATGATACGAACAGTTCAGGATTTTTTCAAATACATATTACTCTAACAGTTCTTGTTAGAGATATGATTTTAACTGTGAGATACAACGTCACACCACCCATGTTTTGAATAAAATCGGCACGTTTAAGGTGGAAAAATCTGAGATGGAAAAGGAGAAGAGAAAAAGTGAGCCGACAACTCAGTAAGCACAGAGAACGAATTTACGATTAGCAATCAAAGCAACCAACAACAACTAGAAACAATGCGAACGTGAGTTTAAGACAGTTTAATATTCTGAACTATAGATTGACAACGTTGTAGCAGTTTGCATCTAACTAGAAGGTGATTCGCGTAATAGGGAGGCATCCAGAACAGCGTAGGTGACGATCGTCACCTTTTCAACATTCGAATGTTGAAAAGGTCAACTAACAACCCAGGATCAACACAAAATGAACCTACATTCGTCAAAGATGGTAAAAAACGTAAACTATTAAAAAACAAGAGTCAGGCTAAGATAATCTTGACATCAAAACTAGAAGCAGATAATGTAGCACTGTACAGACTAAGATTTCGAATACGTTACAAAATGTAGTCAATGGTAGCGAAGACTGTGTAAGGTCAAACAAGTTCTCCAATATAAAACGTATATGATTATTTGAGTGTCTAGGAGACAAAAGTTATGAATAATGTGTTATAAGAAATTTATTAGATTACTCAGTTTGTCAGAGCATTGACTCATTGACGCTACTGCCACTCCATTCGTATCAAGGTAGTTTATAAGTAGAAAAGTATTTGTAGCATGCTAAACTAGTTTGATGGAGAAAACTCTGTTGCATAAACCGACAGAACACGTAAAATTAGGCAGAATGAAATATGATTTTTTGCAAATTCTATGGCGACTGCATGAACCTCAATAAAAGGACAGGACCGAATAATCGAGATTACCTGGATTTCCTAGATTGTTATGAATTATGATGAGGTCAACCACTGTTCTAATATATCTGAAAGACATCGATTAAAGTGTCCGCATCCGCTTCTTAGTGAGCAAATTACTTTCCATCCCTTAATACTGACCGTCACCATCCCGACCAAGACAGAATTTGTGTCTAGAACTTCTTATAAAGTACTTAAGAAATCTCTTCCAGAGTTATAGATGTGGCGAGAACAGTAAGTGTGAACACAAACTAAGTGACAGCCAGTACATTTTTGTCCAGTTTCGTATATTTGATACTATCTGTACTATCTGATACTGTCTGTATCGTTGTTGTTAAGTTAATTTTGCTGGGACGAAGTGATCTCTGTGGTCTATCAAAAAGCTGTCACTACTACGTTTGGTCAGAAAATGCATGATGACATGGAGATAACACACGGAAAACTGATCGCGAAAATAATGTGTATGAATGATTTCAAGTAGCTGTGTACTGAACGAACACTCGTGTGGGGTAGGCTAATTTTTCATAATATACGGAAACTGTACATTAAATAATTCATTTGCACATCTTCTATCAATTGTCCCTCATAAAGTACATCTCTCCTTCATTCCTACTGTTATTAAAATTACTCTTTGTTCACACTTCTGTTTTCTTCAATTCCATCTTCTCGGCCTTTTGCTGCTATATATTTCAGTTCTGATTAGCGCTATATACTACTTATGTCTGTTAACAAAGGTAGCACACACCACAGCTGGACCCTTGACTTTATGTTCGCTTTCTTGGATCTGTAGTAACTCATCAGTATAATTTTGCTTTAATGCCTCTCAAAATGTATCTGTCTATGGTATGTATGACTAGGATGTCGCCGCCATCTATGTGTTTCTAATTACAAATGAGTCTATATGTTTCCACTAAACCAGTTTCTCCACTTTCAAGTGGTTTCTTTTACAATAAGGCTTTGTACTTAAGCGTCCATTCTTTTCACGTTTCCCACTAATGTCATTGCTTCGAGTTCCCAGTACTAAGTTTCAGGTCTCGCTAGATGGCATCCAACACGACAGTTTGAAGCGCAACACTAAATCAAGCGATGTCTTCCAATAAATGAATCCTCTGATTCCATACAATTGAATGCAATATTTTCAAAGTCCCCATGCATAATCCCTCAGTGACAAATTCGTAGACCTTGTGTACCGAATATGAACACTCGGTATGTTTTATTCCGCATTTATCCGAAAACCTGACACAACATTCCGTAGTCTTGACACTATGAGAACATCTCAAAGTCAGAGTGCAAGGAAAGAACTTTCAGTCCGTATGCTTTTCGATTTATGAAATTTCATGTCTCCATAAGAACTCAGAAGGATAAAAATATTCACCATTTTCTCTATTTGTTCGCCAGATGTGTTCACAGTGGGTATCTCCGATCATATAAAGGTGAGACCACAATTTATGGACGAACCAATGAAATTAGCGAGAGTGAATCCCGAATTTTGGTGCGAGCTTCTTGGATGAGTGTTACATTCTTCGTGTTGGTTTAGCCACTTCATCAAGTTGTCCTATTACACACATTTCGAGCCGCTCGAGCGCAAACTTAACGGTCGGGATTTGATGAAAGCAGTTAAAAAGGAGGGGTAAAAAATAAATAAAGACTGTGATGATAAAGTCATATGAGAATTTACACAATCCAGGTTACCCTTGATTTTTTAAAATCAATAAACGTTTACCCCACTTAGCTCATCAACCTTCTTTTAGCTTGCTCCTCTTTCCTTATAACAATTTTTCACACACCGAGTGTTGTTCCTGTTTTACCTGAAGTTTCTTCATTGATTAGTTTGGGCCCTACCCGCTAATGGACATACGCTAAAATGTCCCATGGCAAACAACGAGGTTTTTTCAACCACTGTTTTTGTTAGTTCTCCTGCTTTTTTCCATCAATTTTTAAGCGCCGCGAATGTAACATGTGAAGGTAAAATTTGGGGCAGATGCGCACCCAACAAGATGACAGTTTATACGGTGTATCGTTTTTGGACAGAACAAACAACACTGATGCAGTTCGGGAAGAAACACAAAACTTATTGAAGGCGTAAGGAAAACAAAAACTATAATAAAAAATACAAATATTAACAATTCAAATGTAATCAAAAGACAACAATGTACAACTAAGGGGATCAGTAGGAACAAAGCGCAAGTATAAACATGAAGGGATTTTCACAGACACACAAAGCATTCAAAATGGATCTTACACCTATGCTTCCCAAAAGCGAAATCACATCTAGTGTGGTTACTAGTTCTAAGATCAAAACCGTGCTCAGTCACCAA